TCCAGCAAGAATTGCCTTAAAATAATTTGCCATATTCACTTTAAAGAACAATTGTTATCTAATTTCAATCCAAAATAGTTTTACATAACAGCAATTGCACCCGAATATTATGATTGTGTCCTGTCTAGATGCTCTGCTATTACCAGTATCACCACTGTTTTGCACAATGAAATGTATTTTTGTGTTGACTATCTTTCTGTCAGAAGCTGTTAAATATCTAGTTGGTGGAAATCTCATTTTTGCGATTTTACAAACAAACTTCACAAACTCAGCTGTTGATTGCTATTTCATTGCTTGTGTAGCTTACTCACAGAGTGAAGAAAGCTGCTTCAGAGAAAGGACCCTGCGAGTACCAGATGCCTACTAATTTATGATCTATTCAACATTCATATCAGTGGGGTGGCAGGAAATTGAGTTAAATGAACTAAGGAATTTCATTTTTAATCTTGTAAATGTTTTGAGGAAATGTGTGCATCTGCTAAAAATAAAGCTATGTGTGTGTTTTGTGTTCATTTGCATGTGCAATATGTTAGGTGCAGAAGGAGGAGGAATATCTCCCATCCATCTGCATCATTTCTTGTAAGAACATGTCATAAGATATCCTGATCCATTGATTTTTTCCTCTCTCCTTGAACCTAGAGAGGCAGAGAGAGACATCTCAATTGAGGGTACAGTAGGTGGTTGGAGACGAGGGGTTGCTGCAGTAGAGGAAATTCAGTAGTTTTAATCCACTCATCCACCCAGGCAGTGACAGCAGGATTACAGAGACTATAAAAGAAGGCAATTATGACAGCAAATGGCAATACACTGCCCTAAATTCAATTACCCTCTCTGGCACTTTTCAATTTTCTTTCATTAAGTGGATTAAGAAGAGAGCCATGTTCTTCAAGTTAAGAAATGATTAAAAGTGTATGGGAAGATGAGAGGCAATTGGGGAGGGCTTTATTTCTGCTTATGATTAGTCATGGGTGTTTGCTGTAGGAATTCATGTTTCGGTCATCAAATTGATTCTGTTCATCATGAGGCAGAGAAATGGTCCATGTCAGGCCTGCGCAGCTGAAAGGTTTGTTGGGGTTGTTGTTTTTTTCCTTTTTCTCACCCCACCCCAACTTTTTGTGTGTCAAGAGCATAGACTGTATATAAAAAGTTGCAATTGCCTGTCTTTCAGCATAAAAGACGTCTGAAATAGAACTTTCTTGGAGCTATCTTGGAAAGCGATTTAAGACAGAGGCTGGAATCTAGCTGCCAGTATTGCCTTCAACAAGATACAAAATGTGACAGATGGTCAAAATGTTTCCTGGCAAGAAATGTTCCTCCAAACTCATGCAGCCTTGCTAAGGCTACTGCTATGTGCAGCACTGACCGAAAGGTTTCTCTTTGTATTTTTGCCCTGTGACCTATAACTCAATCAGTTTCAGACAGAAGAGACTCAAAATGTTTAATGACAGAGTTATTCATGCCTCTTGCCACTGTATAATTTTCACACTTCTCATTCTGTAAAGAAGTCTGTGACTCCAGACTAGGAGCAGAGTCAAGTCTATTTAATTTAGTTCCTTTTCACCCTGTAACAGTTAATCTATTACTAAAATTTTAACATTGTCATTGTTGCAGAAGCCAAATGTATTATAGTATCATCACTGAGGCAGGAATAATCTAGTTTAATAAGCCCTGAGGAGGCCAAGATAGTAGTTTTTACAGATGTGACAGAAGGACATTGGTGTAGTCTTCCAGTATCACAAAACGTCAGTTTGATCTTTCTATATTTACCATCGTTGTCAGCAGAATTCATATCTATGTTGCGCTTCCTGTTGGGCATTTATCTTTTATGCTATTAGCTTTTAACAAAAAGATTAAAGAGTAGTAGAGGGGATAAACAATGATTTTTTTCTTACTGTTCCTCATTTGTTCTCTTGCATTAATTACAGGTCAAACTCACATCTGTGATGCTCCCTCTGCCTTTCATTCCCTCCCATCCTTATTTCTTACATCCTTGGCAGAGGTCATCAGCCTATTATTCTGCATTATCTGTCATCATCAAAGAGGATGGATCCACCTGCAGTATTTGGTTGCAGTGCAGTTCTCTTGCACAGGCAGAGTGATTGATCTGCTCTTCTGCCTCCTAATGAAAGAGACTACCTTTGTTCTTGCCAGGAGCCTAAGGCTTGTCCTGTAAAATCATCCTTTACCCTCTGTCTCTATTTGTTACCATTAGAACCTGCTTTCCTCAAACTAAGGGACCCAGTAGGGTCACAAACCTACTTGGGGTAGGCAAAAGAAGCCAAGAATTCAACATGTTGTTTTTTTTCCAAGTCTTGGGAGATCCGCTTATGTTGTCACACTTTTCACACTGTCTAACATTTACTGGGCACGATCCAGAACAATTATATAAATGTCAAACCAAATGAAAGAAGGAAGTATTGGGTGCATATTGTGTTTTCATTACATCTTCATATCTTATCTCATTAAGGAGTTGTAGACTGTTGAATAGAGAGTGTGCACTTGTGACAATATGCCACAGCGGCAGGTAAGTTGTCACACTGGATTGTTAAAAACTAAGAACACAATTACTAGTAATTTCTAATAGTTGTAGCCAATGTGAGCAGTGAGGTGGGAATGACAGCATAATTATGTGTATTTCTTTGGTAAAATTCAGTCCATCAATGGACAGATGAGATGAAATGTTTCAGGAAATCAACAAAGTGCATATGTTTTATCCATCAAAAGGGATTTCCCCCTCTGCTTCCAGGTGGCCCCTTGATCAGGAACAGATTGCGGAAGTTAACACGGGGAAAACAAGTTTCCCACATAGGCATAAATTTCAGCTGGTGTGCCATAGCCAACTGCTAGACAAATCTTCTGACCTGACTTGGCAACAGACCAAAATTAATGTCACAAGTTGAATCGTTGTTGTCGCCATGGCTGTCTGACTTCTTCCCATGTCTTCTTTTTACAGTACCGGGTCAGAGTACGGTAATACGGTAGTATGGTTATGCCAAACTTCTTCGCTGTCCTGATAGATTTGTTCTGCAACTTCACCTGCATGGTTGCCTCTAACATTATGTCACGTGATATGCAGCCATGCTCTCCCTTTTTTATTGAAAATTTCTAGCCATCTTCCTTCCTTCCTTCCTTCTTTCCATCCTTCCATCAAAAACACATTTCCTCATTGCAATTACAAACAGGCTTATTACACTGTCTTCTATCCTTTTTGCCACAATGCAATTCAACACTGCACTAAATTAATGACTGTTTGAAGCAGTGCGTGTGTGTGTCTACCAACACACTACATGCCTACTGAGTATCTCCCCACACAGATACACAAACGACTTCATACAGTGTCATAAATTCAGTCTTGTGTAGTCCAGGAATGTGCCTGCTGCTGGAAACTAGCTATAATTTTGTCAAAGCTAATTTCACAATATCCCAAAGTTTTGAGAAAGTTCTTGCTGTCTATTTGTTGTCACATATGGCAAGTTGTCACATATGACAACTTGCCCCAATTCATTCAACTTGTCCCAAATTAACATGTGTGCTGATTGGCTAAATCTAGTTGGGTAAATCTCAAAGTTAGCTCAACATAGCATTTCAGCTAAGGCATCAAAAGACATGAGTAGTAAATAAAGGCCAGCAAAGTGCGTGCACTTGAATGTGCACACGCATGATGCGCGTAACAGTCGTGCACGTGAATACAGTTTTCATTAATAAAAAAAAATATTAATCAAAAACTAATTAATCAAAAAATTGATTTAAAAAATAATTTCAAAAAACAATTAATAAAAAAATTAATAAACAAAAAACAAAAAAAACCAAAGACATGGGGGTGTGTATTAGGGCGTGTCCGGCCTCATCCTCTATTAGTGGGGGTGGGGGTCGATCGCCAAAAGGTGAAGACGGGTGTGAAACAGGGGGTTTGTGTATATGGGATGTCCGGTGTTATCCTCTATAAGCAGATGTTTGGGAGTGGCTTTAGCATATTGTATATAAATAGCGTGCTAGTTTTTTGACTTACATCTGACCGAGAGAGTGTGGAACAGTGTGACTGAACGATTCTTTGGGTAAATCCGTATCGGAAAGAGCTATTTTCGTGCAGAACAACAGCGCCATCTTTGCAGCATCACAATCATGGACGTCACAGGTAATCAATTAGGAGTAACGACTCCAAAACGACGTATAATTATAGATCCTGTTGCAATGAGTATGGCACCCAGAAAGAAGACTCCCCCAACAACATTGGCTGCCCTTTATTTACTACTGACATGTTATCATCTCCTCTACTTAAATTATTTACTTTTTAAGCGAAAAAAAAAAAACAGATAAATATGCTCACCTCAGATTAGAGTGATCTTGACCACATGTGAACGGGAAGTTGACCGTAGAACACAAACTGACACAAAGTGGCTATTTAATTATTGAGACAGAGCCTTTGGTGAAGGGGTTAAGAACAGTGTGACAACTTACACATGTGACAACTTAACTTGCTCTCCCCTATTTGTTTGTTTATCATATAATCATTTCTAATAATGACACATTATGTTTGTGTTCTGTAGTGTGTGACCTTTCAGAGTTTAATGGTACTTTAATTCCATTGTGTATGCATTACTATAAAAATCACTCGCCTATTCCTGTGATATTTGCACAGCATCCATGATCTTGTAAGCTGTATTATAGTTTAATGCTGATGTTATTTTTATGAGGAAAATCCTTAACACAAAAGTTCAAGTGTTTTGACCTTTAGTATTAGAAAATATTTGCTTCCATAATGTCTCCCCATACTCTGTACAAAAATCAGCATTTCGAAATAAGTAAGAGGACTGCATTGGACTTTTTAGCACAGGCAATTATACCAAATAGGAAACTTTACCACGACGCATAGAAATCATGCGTGTTCATTCATACAGTGGCCCAGCTTGTGAGTTCATGTGGGCTAGTATAATCGTGTAATATCATCAGTCTCCTGTAGAGAGCGCCACATTTTCTGCAAACGGTAATTTCACAGTGTCCTTAACGGCTTCCCGTCGGCTACGTATCATCCCCGGAAGGTTTTACCTTTCTCCTGACACGTAGCAACCGCAACCAAGTTGTTAGGGTTCTGGGTAGATTTGTCAAACATCACAGGTAAGTGTTAGCATTTGCGATTCGTTTATAACGTAAGGACAGTACTTAAATACGAAAGGTTAAATGGAGTATTAAAGCCACTGCTGACATTACGCGCAAGAAGCGAAAGTCTCCACAAATGTTACGTTATAGCTAGCATTAGCTAACCAACTAAATTCGCAGCAGAGTTAACAGTAACGTTACGTTAGCCTCCTAAAGATTAGTAGCTTTTGCCGTATTTTGACAAGATTAATTAACTTGTCCTATTAGGTGGATATGATTGTCAAGTTATTTGATGATTGACACGGTTAAGAAGTACTCTAACAAAATCTAAGTGTGAAGCTGACTAATTTAGCAACCTTAGCTACTTTGTGTAAACGTTAACGTATTCATATCATACGGATTTAACGTTACCTATGTTAACGGTCACTTAGCCAGGCAGTGCAGTAAATACTACCGCTGTCCTAAGAGTTAAATATATAACTTAATGTAAGTGTTACAGATTCAACTTTTATGATGTTAACGTTACGAAGATGAAGCTCATAGTTTGGCTACGGCCCATAGGTTTACAAGATGTAGCTAAGCATGTGACGATTATGTCTTTGGTAATGACTCTTAGTGTACTATAACGTGATTTCACTTGTTGATGGCGAATTGAACTATCATCACAAAGCATAGTTGTTCAATATAACATCATATGTAGTTTCTAAATTGACACCCACTGTGCCACCTCAATGTAGACCAAAATAATCATCCTAGCCGACAAGTTGTGTTCCTGTTGCTTCCCTGTGTTTCCAACAGAGTGAGAGATGGCAGGGTTTGACAATTTCAACACAGACTTTTACCAGTCCAGCTACAGTGTAGATGACCAAAGCCAGGGCGGCTATGGCTACAGCAACGCTGAAAACTACAATAAGTAAGTGAAGAAACCCCTCCTTACTGTCAGCTCCCTCAGCTGTGATCACCTCCAAGAGCAACATTATTGCTCTTTTATGTGCCATTTCAGCTGCTGAAGACTAATCTACCTAACAGTGTGTTGAACGGTTGAACACCTTATTTGACATCTTTTAAGTGCAGTTGTTTTAAGTGAGTTTGAAAATTCATTACATGAGGAAGGGAGATTGTTTTGTTTAAACAAGAATAGATGAAGTTGATGGGCTACTTTGCAGTGTTTTATAATGCTAATAAAGATGTTAAAGGTTAACTTCGGTATTTTTGAAACTGGATATTGTCCCATGTTTTTGTGTCTGTGACTAATTGGGAAATTGGTCCAGTAGTGACCGAGCACACTGCAGTTGGCAGGACTGCAACGCAATCCTTGCTGGCAATTTTTCCCCGTCAAAGTACGTCCACTAAAGTGTTTGTTTTTGTCACGGAGAGACTCAGATTATTATTATTATTACAAATAATTATTATGAGTAAGATCCTTTTTGTTTAACTAGAAACACTCACTTTATCACTCTTGTCAAAGTAACCCAATTGATAAAAACAGTAATTTTACCTTACAGAACACTGGAGTTGCTGGGCTACTGCTGCCTCAGTCGGTTAGTTAGTTAGTGTTATAACAAACTAACCAATCAAGGCAGCAATAGACCAGAGAGGCAAAATTACTAATTTTGTCAAGGGAGTCTGGTGGCTTTGACGAGAGCGATATAGCAGCTGTTTCTGGTTAAACAAAAAGGATCTTGCTATTTTAAAAAAAAAGACAAAAATGGTCAGTCTCCGTAGGGTTCCTTTCCATAATGTTGTCAGATACAGATAATAACAGTCTGAGCCTGTCACTGGCAAGAACAAGCACTTGAGTGGATATTTTGACATGGCGCAATTGCCCGCCAGGATTACTGGCTGAGCTCTTGCTCAATACTGGACCAGTTTCAAACAATTTTGTCATATAGACATAAAAGCATGGGGAAACAAAGGTCCAGGCTCAAATACACTGAAGTTACTCTTTAATACTACCTAATTGAAACGACACCTTTGGGAAACAACTTGCAAGCGTGGAAAGTTTAAATGGGCAGTGAGAAGTCATCTAATGTCAGTCAAAGAGTACTGTTGAGCATTACTATTATGTGTTTCCCAGGCCATACGGTCAGTATGACTACTCCCAGCCCATGGACTACTCTTCCCCAGGGATGATGCAACCCCAGCAGCCATACACAGGACAAATCTTCCAGCCCACACAAACCTACACCCCATCCCCATCACAATCTATGTATAGTAGCAGCTTCGATGATGAGCCACCACTGCTAGAAGGTAGGTTAATCACGCCCTGGAGGCTGTGACTTCTTCCTGCCTCTTTGGCACTTATACAGCTCTTCTCTCATAATATATCTCATTCATGAGTGCACGCATATTGCCGGGGAACTGACTTGTACAGCACAGTCAGCAATACAAAAAATACATTTCACTAAGTGTATTGTTAACTGTGCTAAACTATTAGTTGGTTATTATTCTGTTAGTTGATTGCTGTTGTTATTTTTATAACTGATAAAACATTCATGTCAGTAACAACTGAACTCTGTCTGCAGTATCACTTGACTTGAACCAAGATCTGTTCTTAAGGTGTGAAATTAAAGTTTCATTCACCTGTTGCAGTGGCTAGCAGAGTCAGAGAATCTCATAGCTGCAAGGAAGTTTTGATGACTAACGGATCAAAGGCTGGGTACCTGACAAAGTGACTGCGAAATTGACTTGGCCTGACTTTTCGCAGTATTTTTGTTAGCAGTTTTTTCCCTCTACTTACACACATGACAAAACTTTACATTGGCAACTGTGCTGTGCAGTTACACACAAACCAGCACTGAGGAAAGTATACTAATTTGAAGTTACTTTAATTATATAAAGCTTTTTCCCCTCTGTATGCATTTGTACTGTTGCAATAAAAACCTAAAGACTCAAAAGGCTGAACATTAATGAGAATTTCACAATTTTAAATAAATGGTCTATAAAGTGATATTAGCTTGTACAGATGTACAGTGTGTTGCCCGATGCCTGTATGTGGCTAATGTTAATTAGTTGTTAATAGCTACGTGTTATTGTGATATCTTTTCACTGTGCTGATCGTTCTGATAAGTCTACTTAGCTTCCAGCTTCACAGCTCTAAAATGTAGTGATTTTAATCTATTTTAATTGACTTTATCCTGACTCATAGCTGCTAACTAGTTAGCTTTGCACAGTCTGGACCAACTCTGCTGTGAACAGCAAGATACCACAGTTACGTTACATAAACAGAGACTTCTTATTTATTTTCTTTGGCAGCAAACACAACACAAAAGTACTCATTACCGAGTAAAATGGTCCCAGTCAGTGTTGCATTTTACCACTGTAGATGATTTAGGTTGACCTAATTTTAACTACTTTATATAGCTACTGTAGTTTATTGTAATTGTCCACTCAGTTTATAGTCATGTGTTGCAGATCACCTTCAAATATTGCCTTTTAATCATCGTATCTTGACCCCCTTGTAGCCATGTTCTGCACACATTAAAAACAAACCCAATGCTCACTGAGTGGTTTTATTTCTGAAGCCTAAAAAATTAAGCAGATGGAGTAGATACTCTAATTCACACTTGACATGTGAAGTCTGCTTTGCATTTTCTGGTAAAGTGAATTGTCAAAAAGATTTATTATGTGAAAGTGTTTTTTGCTGTGTGAAGTAGAAATATGTAAGCCTCTAAGTTACTTAATCCTCAGCTCCAAAGTAGTGGAACTTCATCTGTGAGTGATATTGAGTGGTCCTTGATTTTTAGAATATTTTTTTCTCATACAGTATCTGAAGAATTTTCTACATGCATCATTTAGATGAAAGGGTTTTCAAGTGGGGTTGTTATATAGAGAGAGGTACTAAGAGTGAGTACCAGTAACTGTGACTTAAAATATCACATGCAAGTAGCCACTTGTGAAGAGCAACGCTCAAACTTTCCAAGGTACTCTCTAATTTATAGACCTCCATTTTCAAGTTGCATACAATTTAGTGGTGAAATAATTAATTGATTCAAAATTATTCAACAATTTAATGGTCAGTTAAGCCATTTTTTAAGTAAAAATACAAGGAATTAATTTAGCTGTTTCTAGCATGTGATATGTTTGTACTACATGTCTCTATTGTATTGACTGTACATATTGAGTTATGACAAACAAAGGGACAACTGGAGATTGTTGCTGTTGCCTTTGCCTAATCTCTGTCTGTACCTGCACACAACAGAGCGGTCCTCATGCACCAACCAGCTTCTACTCCTCTCTGACTAGTCACTGCTCTTAACTGAATAAGTCATATTTAGTTTAAATAATCACTTTTCAATCAAAATCAGTTTTGCACTAATTATTCTCTATTCCTCACACTGTGTCCATTCCCGTGCTTGTATATATATATATATGCGTGGTGCCACACAGCTATGTCTCAAAGTGGGATTGACAGCTTAGCTGGGGTAAATGCGCTGAGACCATGAAAAATGTTGATGATCGCCCAAACCTAATTTACAATCTTTAGACTAAACTGAGTGACCTAGATAGGTGAAGACACACCTCAAGGCTATTCTGAGAAGAAATCACACTTTTATCACAGAACGAGTCCTTTCTGTCTACATCCTTATGCAAAGAGTATTCCTGCAAGTGAGATATGTCTTTATCTGTAACTGTGAAGTAGAGGGTGACCAGTCCCAGTCCCATGTTTAGTGAAATTGGCTCCCATCTCACGGGAATCCTATGACCCACAAGATTCCTGAAAAATGTTAGCCTCTACTGTGAAGGCTTGGTGTTTATATAACAAACAGTAGTGCATACTGGATAACAGTTTATCACATCTGTGCTTTGTCCTGTAGCTTCTATCCTTCATCCTCACTTGTATGTACTTTGTGTCATGTGTTTGTACCATCTGTGTTTGATCATAGTTCTAGTATCCACCATGTCTTATGTGTTTTCTTTGTCTTAGAATTAGGAATCAACTTTGACCACATCTGGCAGAAGACTCTGACGGTGCTCCATCCGCTAAAGGCAGCAGACGGCAGCATCATGAATGAGACAGACCTGGCTGGCCCCATGGTCTTCTGTTTGGCGTTCGGAGCAACACTTCTCCTGGTAAATCATTTTGTTATCAGTGTTTAATAGTAATTCTTAAGAACTAGAGTTAGTAAAAACATCTTTCTACACTTTTTTATGGTACAAACGCATATACAATCCCCCCCAAAAGTATTGGAACGGTAAGGCAAATTCCTTTGTTTTTGTTGTTCACTGAAGACATTTGGGTTTAAGATCAAAAGATGAGACAAGAGTTCAGAATTTCAGCTCTCATTTCCTGGTATTCACATCTAGATGTGTTAAACAACTCAGGACATACCACCCTTTGTTTGAACCCACAGATTTTTCAAGTGAGCAAAACTATTGGAACATGTGACTAACAGGTGTTTCCTTTTAGGTTGATAGTCCAAACATTAAATAGCTCTGCATGACTAGTCTAAGATTTCATCCTTGGTTCAAACCTATAAACACTGCATTTGCAGTTAAAGAGGATAAACCAACATGAAGACCAGAGAGCTGTCTATGGGAGAAAAGCAAGCTGAGAAAAGAAGGAAAATCGACCAGAGCCATTGGACAAACATTGGCCATAGCAAGCACAACAATTTGGAATATCCTGAAAAAGAAAGAAACTACTGGTGTACTGAGCAACAGGTCAGCCAAGGAAAACGACAGTAGTTGATGACAGAAATATCATGAGAGCTGTGTCTTAGCGGGCGTGTTTTTAGTATTTTATTTATTATTTTATATCTACTATTTTTACTAACTTAGCTTGTTTCTTATTTCACCGTTTTAATTATATTTAGTATCACTCACTTATTGAATTTTCCTCCTTCAGTTCTCACAGACCTAACGTACCTCTGCTGCAAACACGTCAGCGTTTCCCGCTTCTTATGCCGTTTTTCCATTACCAGAACCAGCTCAACTCGCCACGTTTTCCATTGCAGATAGTACCCAGAGATAGCACCCCTCAATGTTGCTGGTCGTCATAGCGATGCCACACACAATTGCCGCGACGTAATGTTCAATGCGACACACACACCAGCGACCCACAAACAAGTTAAAACGTTTCAACATTACTCAGAATGTAAAGACAGATAAGACAGAGGTGATACGAAAAAAGTACCTGGTAGCAGGTACAAGTTTTACACAATGGAAAAACGGCGAGTAGAGTCAAGCTGGTACCCTGCAGTGGAAAAGGGGCTTTACCGTCTGTCTCTTCCTGTGTGTCTGCTTCGGTGACTTTCTCCATCAGTAGTAGGCTAGGCTGTATAAAGTCACTGAAAAGAAAAAGAACTTGTCTTCTGGACTTTTCCTCCCGGGATTCCGTTCACAGCTGAGCTGCATGTTGAGGAGGCCTGTTGAACGTATAGCCTATCAAAACAAAACCAACATGGTAGCTAACGAATAACATCTGACTGGTGTGTTGACTGTCGCTTTACCTTGTCCGCTCTTGTGAAATATCCACAGTGTTGCGACTTGTAACGTAATCACTATGTTTCTCTGATAACTGCTACAATGTTGCCGCCTAACCTGGGCGGCCCGCCCAAGTAAAGTGTATGTGTGGGAAATACTGAATGAACCGTGTTTTTCTTTTTACAAGCCAGGTCTTTTAACAGTGTCAACCAGCACTGTGTCTCCCTCCATCTTGTTAGAGAGTTTGAGTAGATGGCTGCGTGGAGACGCAGAGGGAGGGGCGGGGCTGTGTGGTGAGGAAGAAAGAGAGGAGCAAATTCTGGCAGGACTTTACGGAAACATTAATTAACTCAACATCAAACTATATCAGGATTGTCTAATTTCATATCTCTTTTGAAATTATATCAGTATACCTCATTATACCGATATACCACCCAGCGCTAGGCCACACCACAAGATGCAAACCACTCATCAGCAGTAAGAATTGGAAGGCCAGATTGAAATTTACAAAGAAGTCCAGAGATGAGCCTCAAAAGTTCTGGAACACAATCTTATGGACTGATGAGACCAAGATTAAACTCTACCAAAGTGTGGAGAAAGGCCAAAGTGTGGAGAAAGAAAGAAACTGCTTATGATCCGAAGCATACAAGCTCATCTGTACAGCATGGTGGAGGGAATGTCATGGCTTGGTCGTGCATGGCTGCTTCTGGAAGAGGCTCATTAATATTTATTGATGTAACTGACGATTGTAGCAGCAGAATGAATTCAGAAGTGTACAGAAATATTTTGCCTGCCGATTTATGGAGAAATGCGTTGAAACTAATCGGGAGGAAGTTTATCATGCAGCAGGACAATGACCCAAAACACACTGCCAACAAAACAAAGGACTTCATCAGGGGAAAAAGTTCAAGGTCTTAGACTGGCCAAGTCAGTCACCTGACCTTAACCCAATAGAGCAAGCATTTCACCTCCCTAAGAGGAGACTGAAGGGGAAACACCCTGAAACAAACAAGAACTGAAAGAAGCTGCGGTAAAAGCCTAGAACAGCATCACAAATGAAGAATGCAACAGTTTCGATGGGTCGCAGGCTTTGAGACAGTTATTGCAAGCAAGGGTTATGCCAACAAATATTAAATGTTATTTACTTGAAGATTATTTGTTCCATTACTTTTGCTCACCTAAGAATGCTGTGGTCTAATACAAACGGTGATATGTCCTAAGTTGTTTAACACATCTAGATGTGAATACCAGGAAATAAAAGCTGAACTTCTGAACTCTTTTCTCATACGCATCCTTTGATCTTAAACCCAAATGTCTACTGTGAACAACAAAAACAAAGGAATTTGCCTTACCGTTCCAATACTTTTGGAAGGGACTATATATCTGTACACCACCATGGACAGCTGACATCATGTGGGTGTGTGCATATTTATATCTGATTGTGTGGATGCATCTTTTTTTATCCTTTCCTTTCACAGTCTGGTAAGATCCAGTTTGGCTACGTGTACGGTATCAGTGCAATTGGCTGCCTTGGCATGTACTGCCTACTCAATCTAATGAGTATGACGGGCGTCTCCTTCGGCTGTGTGGCCAGCGTGCTGGGATACTGCCTCCTCCCTATGATCCTCCTCTCCAGCTTTGGAGTCCTCTTGTCTTTACAGTGAGTACAAAGGGAAAAACGGCAACGTTGATGAACGTTATTATAACCTGTATATCAAGCAAAGGCTTTTCTTTGTCTGTAGACCACGCTAGACATAGTGTTGCCGTTAACATGTATTTACGTGCATTCTTAGGTATTGCATTAAAAAAGGTTGATGGAAACTTGTCAAAATTTAGAAGTATTTGCCTTTTTCGGAAAAGAGTTAGTGAGCTTAATGGGAGATGGAAACACCTTTTCAGAATAAGTTCTGAGCTAACATTTAAATAAACAGATAAATACTGTATATTTTTTTTCTTTTTTTTACTTTTTACCTTTTTGCGACATTTCAAAAGTTTGCTTCAAATTCATGAAAGTTTGATTTTAGATGGAAACACGGACACTGTCTAGTAGTATTAACTGGGATTAATTGGTTTCTTAATAAGCTCCGCTAAAGTGTGATGTATATGTGTTGGACAATGTAACTTTTCTTACTGTTTGATAGACGTTTCACAAAAGGCTGTACATTTAATAAAACTGTATAAACGCTGCTATCATACTAGTGACTAGGTGGACAATTAATTGGTCAAAATACCTGGACTCACGAGCCCTATAAACTAAATATTTCTGCGGACACATCTGCAGGCAGCCTTGTCGGTGTCGCTGCTGTGGAATGATGTTAGGTGGTGAAAAAGTTATTTTTAGCCATAAATTTCCTCAGACATCATCGTCATCAACGTTCAACATTTTTTCCATCTTAAATGACAGCAGATCTAATCTAAAACCATTTCAGGCTAGCGTTAAATATATATTGTTATATACTGTAGAGAATAATGCAGCTTAATGACATCACTTCTGCCAATCTGTACCCCACTCCTTTAAACACCTTGTCTAAAGCAAATCTACAGCATAATCCAAAACATTTTTCTGTTTCATTAATTAATAAATAAAAATCCATCTAAAACAACATGTTACTGGCTCAGATAACCATGTATATTAGATTGTACTCTGCATGGAAGAAAAAAATATACATGACTTTTCTTGGTTTTGATATTGATAATGTTTTGGCATTATATCCGCATCGGCCATTAAACCTCCACCTCTTTTTCATACAGGTGACTTTTAAAATCATCAAAGCTAACGTCTTGCTTCCTCCTTGTCCTCTTTAGGGGCATGATTGGAATTATACTAACGGCAGCAATCATTGGCTGGTGCAGTTTGTCAGCCTCAAAGATCTTCATCTCGGCGTTGGCCATGGATGGACAGCAGCTGTTGGTTGCTTACCCCTGCGCTCTCTTGTACGGGGTCTTTGCACTCATCTCTGTCTTCTAAAAAATAAATAAAATAACGAATTAGATAACTGCCTCCCCCCAGTTTGTGTAATTCCAGTGTATTGGCTAATAACACTGTTATTACAGAAAATCAGAGCTCCTGTCTAAATCGGCACCAATTTTTTGTTGTTTAATAAACCTCCACCTCTCACTAAATTCGGACATGACCATCTGCAGGCTGGAGTGTAGTGTCTCGTCTGTAATGTCTTCTCTCCACCTTGCACCCCCTCATACATTTAAAGGAGAGGACTGTCAAATAACCTGGTGAAAAATAACTCCTGTGGACCAAGTTGAGCCTTAAATGGCATAGTACAGTCATGATTTTTAATGACACGAAGGGGAAGGAAGCGAGCAACTAGTTCACACAAGGGGAAGAATTAATTTGAACACAGATGTGAAAAGGTTCTAAATTTCCAAGAAGGGCCGATAACCAACCCTCAGCAAATGCTGCAGCCCCATCTGGAGCCAGTGGATACGCCACGTATCATGATTTTTGCAAAAGCTGTTGCAAAACAGTAGATGTTACAGCTGCAAGACTAAAGGAAACACCCACTTTCCTACAGTATACTAGAAGACTACAGTAGCTCATCCTACTTCTCCACAGAAACGGAAAATGGGGGTCTGCACCTCGGCCTTCTTTTCTCCAGGGCCATGGATCTCATCATTTGCTCATCACAGCAGTGATCTGATATTTGATGTAAGAACATGTAATAAAACTGTATTGTTTTATTATATTCTCTTAAAAATTCATTTGAGTTTTGATGCCTTTCAAGAAGACAAAAATACATTTTGCACAAAAGCATTGTTATCATTTTTAAAACCAAACGAATTTGATAAGACATTGAGAATTAATGGTCTGAGAGATACTGTACTGTGTAGGTACAAACATGCCTCCATAGGTTGTTGCTATACTTTGCATGCTTTCTTAAATCTCACTTTGTATGCTTATGTGTCATCTGTTTGTGTCTTCTCATGCACATTAAAGTTGTCTTTGAAGGTTATTTGCCTTGTGCTAGTAAAAAAGGTACCTTGTATGGTCAAGCAGATAACTGTAAGAAGAGACTGAAATATTGAACTTGGCCTGTGGACCTAGAGCGGGCTGCTATGACCGCTGGAAGAAGTGGGTGTATGATATATAATGACGGTTTTCAACAACACGGGGAGATTTTATCACAGCTGGTTCGTAGTTCAAAGGAAATAATCCGCACACTGTGATTCACACCATTGCCATTTTTATTGAGTGCAGACATTTCTTTGTAGATTCACCCTAAGAACATTTCCACTTCTCAAGTCATCAGCTGCAAGTACTCTTAAAGGCTTTCTACCTCTCACATGTGTTTAGGATGGGTATACTGTTATTAGTTAAATGTTTATTTTCATCAACTAGAGAGGAGTTATTTACATGTGCATGTTTGTCAGTAAAACCATCACCTTTACACCCTAGCACAAGGTACTGGAGCTATTAACTCACAAGCTAATATAAAAGCACTGTAACTTGTTAACAAATAGAGAATGGAGTAAATATGACAACACAGAGATCAGCTTTTAAAATAAACTTGTGAGCAAAAACTTAGTGGCATTACTGAAAATCACAGACCAAACTTCTGCAGAGATTATTGTATTGGAGGTTTGTCTGATTTTGTCATCTTGATCAGTAAAACCATATGCCCTCAAGGTCAGTTGTATTTGGCAGAATAATGATCACAACTCTTCCTATTCATGACCTGGTGTGTGGAGGACACTGCTCCGCCACATTGCTTTCTTATTCTTTAAATACAAGAGTTTTTATGGTTAGAACACATACAGTAGCTCTATTTTTTTCTTCTCCCTTGTGAGTTTTCGTTGCTCTAACATATACAAAACACATACACAGGGGGGCTCCTTAAATGGATGATAACCCACTTAAGATGAATGAATAATTCAAAAAGGAAAATGGAGTGCTTTTTCTGTTCCAACAAATTCAACATCAAGGAGATACTTTGCATTTCAAGCAAACCTAACATGAGCAGTCTGCTCTCACAGGCCATGCTCTCATATGGCTCATAATTGTTTAAATAGATGCATCTTCTGTTTTGTATATTGATTTACATAGGAAGTAAACTTGTATGTTGGTGTTAACTGCGTTCTTTTTATGTATGAAAGTGTTCAGTGTCACACTTTCACAGGGATTAATTTGGTTTCTGTCTAAATAAAACATTGCTTCTATATGTCATAAAGTGCTTCTTCAACTCATTTTATGCGATGAGTGTCTCGAGTACTTCAAGTTATTCTGCACTTCCACTCTATTCGGGCTCTGGGGATCTCACAAACTGTTGAAGACATTGTGGACAGGATGTTGACATTCACGCGCCCTTCATGCAGTATCTGGTTTCAGCCAGTTTGTAGTCAGGTTTCAATATCTTGCACATGGATTCACTCATGGGCATCTGACACTAACATTTCCCCTCTTTCTTGCTGTTCCTTCCAAAATGTCATGCTTTTCATCACCATCTCATTGTCCTAACCCTGGCTGGGGTTCACAAATCTGTCAGTTGTTGCAGAAGTGAGAAAACATTTTTAACTTAAACATTTAACATAATATTTACTTGCGTTCCTGTGGCAATGTTTAAGGAAGGAAAAATAGTGTGATTAATTTACTGTGTGTACAATAGCTCTAAAACCTGGGACATTTAATTCAAACTCTTATTACATTCAAAGTTTGATCAGCCGTTTCTTTTTTCAGACACTGTTGTTTATGAGGTTTAAATTAAGTTGCATATTAACAGGATGTTACATTACCTTTCAGCATCTGATGCAACAACAAAAATGTTCTTGTACAATAAATATTCTACAAAAAGTTTCTATAGTACAGAGTGAGCAGACAATGCCTTAGTGACATTGTAGTGCCTACAGTAACAGGTTGTGTTGGATATGCTGGACTATTTTGGATGGACTGACTTGGCTTCAGCACAATTTACAGAAATCCCTACAATACCGTATAGAAGCATGTAGTGCTACATACTGTATGTGAACAAAACTGTCTAAATATGATTAGCAAATCTGATTCAGTGTCAATAGAGAACTTTAATTTCTGCTTTTTGTACCTATTGCTCTGTGTAAATAATTTATTATTTCATGGGGCCAATGTGGTTTCAGTATTTGCTGAATCTGCTACTGTGAGGCAGGCTTTTGCTGCTGCAGGGCTTGTTATCAATGTTTTGATATGATTACAACTGAAACTTGGGTTATTGGTGCTCTAATTAGCGTAATGGAGCTGACAGGCGTATCTTTCCATTTCTACCAAGTGATGAGTGAGTGATTCTGCAATTGGCTTCACAACACAGATTTACAATCGGGAATGCAATAATACAATCTTGAAGCCAGAAATGCTAACCTCTAACTAGTTGACTGTTGGGATGTTCATTCCTATTCCCAGGTGGAGTTTAGTGTATTAAAAGTTAGGAAATCTTGATGGGAGGTGGCTGTTGGGAAGACAAAATCAGCACCATGCATGTACATGAGTAGAGCTGTCTACCTGGGGGGGATTGGTAACCTCCTGTAACATTTACCCCTAAGCGCCTCCAGATGGCAGTGTTGAGTTACATAGAGTCTGTCCCCTTGGCCTACTGAATATTGTTTTTTTTGCTGTGTTCATTGGCTACAGCCTGACATTTCCCCTGGAGCAATGACTACATGCCCCCTTCTGTTTTTGAAACTTCCTTACACTCATTATCAGGAAATCTATGGCTCACTCTGGATCAGATCATCATCTACGAGGAGCTTCAGCCATAACCCACCCAGCTCTCTACTCTGTTGACTATTTTATGGGTTTGCTTAGCTCTTTTTTTGGTTGCTTAGTTTGTAGGTTTACTGCTAGCCTACTCTTACATAACACAGCGGAGTACATACACTGTAGGCCTACTTTTACCATGCGTGGGCCCGGTGGGCCCTGAGAAAATAGTCCCCTAATTGCACTATACAAACAAGACTATTACTGTTACTAAACTTAAATGATTTTTGGCTGGAACATTTAGGTGAGATGAATGGAAAAACAAAAGAAACCAGTATTGCTGAATGGTATGACACTTTACATCTTGAAAAGAAAGTTATTTTAGTCATCACTGGAATATAATATTTAATTAATAATGCACCTCCTGCTACCATTGTTCGTCCTGTCATTCCTCCTCTTCCTCCAACTAATCATAAAAATCACCATCAACATCCTCATCACCACCTTATGAATAGCTGACTAAGTTTACTGATCTGCTTGTCTCTGTGGAATAAGGGCCCCCATACCATTATGTTATCTAATGGAGGATAATCTCACCTCCATCTGGCCAGCCTGAGCCACAGTCTGTTCTGCCCAGAAAGCTGGCCCTGCTGACTGACTGAGTAGCATCTAATGATGAAACCGTCTCCTGCTCTGATAGAAAGAAATGCATGGAGCGAGACAAGCTGTAGGGATGGACAGAGAGAAGGGAAGCTGGGAAATGGACGGGAGCTGTACTAAAAAGCAGAACACAACTTACATTCTTAGTTATAAAACAGCATTCTGTTTTTAAATGGCATACAGCAGCAGATGTAGCTGGACAACACAATAGATGTGGACTTTGTGCCCGATGCACTCTAAAAAGCCTCACAGCAATGAGGCTCATTAGGATGTTATCTTCACTGAGGGAGCAGACGAGCGACAGGTGGAAATGTAACGATTGGTATTCAGAAACGCAGCGCCGCCTTTTAATGCATCTGCAAAGCCAACAGCACATGAATATTCACTGAGCAACTGTTAGCACAGCACTGAATGTGATTTGCTCCTGCACTTCATTAGGCTAATTGTCCCCCATCATTGCACTGCGGACTCTTCTAACAGTTGATTCAGAACTCAATGAACTAACATTAACTCTGCAAGGGAGGATCAGCGCAGTCCAGCTGAGGGGACCTGTGTTTTTGTGTCTACGCACATGAATGCACGCTCATGTGTATTCAAGGGTGCGTGCAAATGTATCGTGTGTGCATGTACAAGCATTACATTTTATGTATGTGCTTCTTTGTACATACATTATGTTTGTTTGTGTTTCTGGGGGAGCTGCACACAGGAAATGATAATGCTCAGCTTGACAGATAATTTTAAATATGTAGATTATATTGTAGTGTGTGAAAAACAAATACCTGCATAAACTGTTAGAAGACACAAATAGACACACAGACACAAATATGCACACATATGCCACATAAGCCCTCTGTGCTTTTCCACATGCATACACACATAAATAAATAAATGTACACAAGCATGTGTTGGTGCACATGTGCAAGCACAGGAATGATGGTGAAGCCACATTGATTTCAGATCATTAATGTGCCTGAGCTGCATACTATATTGCCTGTCATCATGTTACTAATTTGAAATATGAAAAGAAGAAATGTCACGATTACTTTTCTGAATTGCCAGTGAAGAAATGGTGCAGATTTTTTGCGGATTAACTCATCACCGTTTAGAACAAATCAGACCGCATGGTTGTTGCCTGGAGGCCCTTTTCACAGCAGACTGTGTGACGTGTCATAGCAGGAAAAAGTGAGTAAGTACTTCAGCTAATACATTTAATCGATGGCTGCATTCAATTTATGTGCCGTGGCATGAATCATGCCAACTCATTGGCATTGAAATGGAATGGAGTCAGTCCTCTGTGACATTTTTACTTCTAACATGTTTTTCCTGCAATGACAGGGCAAAATGTCAATCATTAAAAAAGGACAAGATTTCACAACAGTGCAACACTTCAATGATCATTCTTTCAGCCTTGTGGTGGAGAAAGAGTCAGAAAAAAGTTTAGTTAAATGTTTTATTAATCGAGCCACAACACCAATAAGATAAAGTGGGCATAGAAAATAAAACTTTTACTTGACAACCATATAGGAAAGAACTGTTGTGGGTAGCACAACACATACAAAAATAGTTCTTACAGCATCATTGTTACACAACTAAAAATGGCAGTTGTTTAAAAATGTTTTAGTGTCCTAATTCTTTTGTGGAATTAATTGTGGAAGAAGACTAGTGGATCTATGCAGCTTTTTTAAAAAAAAACTTAAATTCACTCTCAGTAGAGTATTTTTGCAACTAGGCAAACACTTTCATGGAAAACATCATTGAACAGGTTTGAAGCCATGTATTAATTCACCTGGAGAAATTCCCAGGTTCTCATTCACTCTGTCTGAGGGAGAGAAAAACAACGTATGAGAATATACTCCTGAGACACTTCCACTTCTTGAAAGAAATGGTAGTTTCTCTTTCAACTCCCTGTGCTGCTATATGTCAGTCTAGGAGAAGAGATACTTCACTCCTTCAGTCGATTCCCTAATCAACATCTCTGCCGACTTCATTTGTCACAAAATGTGTGTTTGAGTGTGTATGTGTGTGAGAAAGAGGCCTCCTTGCCACCAAAGGTTTTCACTGTGGCAAAGGAAAGAATTACAAAGGGGTCATTAACAGATTTTGAATAGATCCTTGGACAGAAATAAAACCCAAACAGAGGACTAAAGAACTTGAGATAAACTAGAGCACCTGAAGCTGAGTAAGCCAAGCAATGTGTGGTGGATGACAAAGGAATAATTTCAGCACAGTATTACATAATAATCTGTATAATATAGCTGTATTATGATGTCATATTTTTACCCAACAATGTAGCTTTGGCAGAATTCAGTATGAATGACAATGACAATTACAGACCTTTTGTCATTATTAGATGTTTAACCTCTTATTAATCTGCCTGAAAAGGATTTTACTGGTCACTTTGGGCAGTGAAAGTGTGTTCAGATTAAAGCTTCTACAAAGACTGGAAACCCATCTGGTCTTGCTGGGGGTGTTCTTATTCAATATACATAACATAAGCATAATAATTCAGAACATCAGCTTACCACAGCATAGCACACAGCAACTCAGCTAACATAATTTCCATATTTGTGCTTTCACTTGCAGAACTGTGACTCACCATTTATTTCACATTTTTGTGTTGTTCTTCTAACTTTTCCTTACATGTTTATGGTACCTACACCACTGTGAGTAATTGGACTGAAGAAAATCAGTCAGTCTAAATTTTGCTGTGATTACCTATTATGAATTATGTCCCCTTTTAAGACATATGGCATTGGGATTTGTATGGGATTTACTACTGCACATAAAAATTCACCTGGTGGTGTATTTTATGGAGAATAGAATTTCATTAAAAA